TCATTGCTTCTTGCTCTTGTCGAGATAGGGCATTGTATTGTTTGACGTGTCATAGCAGGGACGATTGTGTCGGATTTGCTCCTGTATCTCTTCTCCAAGTCCATTTGATCGTAGAGCGTTTTCGAATTCCACTGGAGAAAGATCCTCTGCTCCCGCGGCTTTATTTAACTTCAACGGTGCGATCTCACGTTCGACTTCTGAGCGAGAGGGTGGATTCAACGGGACAGCCCAGGGAGCGGGGCGCTCAGTGGTCAACGAGAAATCTAACTATTTCGACCGATAAAATTGCCTTTCAAAGTGCTCAGCCCAACGCTTCAAGCATTTTGAAAAGTTGTGGATAGGCTGTCTGCGCTCGTCGCAAATTGTTTCACTAATACCAGGTCTCCTGCTGCTCCTTTCCCGTATCAGCCGAAATTGCTTATGATGGTTAACAAGGCCAGCGGCGTTATCCACCTCTGAAGCATGATGAGACGATCAGGTTTCGCGGTCTCTCTTCAGGCTAGCACGGTGTTTTGTCCGGAGCTCTTTGCGAGTTTCATTTTGTTCGCTTCAGCCGGAATGTGCCGGCGAGCATCGATAAGTCCCAGAGTCTGCAAAGAGACCCAAAGTCCATGTTGGCTATTAGACTCACCACATGAGGATTTTCCTACTGCTAGTAAGGACTGGTGAATATGAGACCAGTGAGCTTCAATTGGATCTAGTGAGCGTTTACTCAACTCGCATGACAGCGTACTTTGATTGACATTCAGAACAGCTGGTTTCGCCAGTTGGTTGGTGTCAATGCGCTCACAACGTCGTCTTGGGCGTCCACCAAAACGCATCCGCAGGTCAACACATACATGTGCATGGTCGGTGCCCACACATATGCTCCAAATCGAGCGACAGTTCTGGACGCAGCCTCTCCATCGGTAACTTATCGCAATGTGATCGATTTGCCTCCATAGCTGGTTCGAGGCTGGTAGGCGCCAAGTCATCCCCTGCGGGTACTGTGTCGGAAATTAGTGCTCGCAAGAAATAACCGAGCATCTTCATACAAATGAAGTAACCGCTCACCGTTATCATTACGCGAGCCTACACCATGTTGGCCGCCCAGATGCGGTTCATCATTGGATAATTTTCCAACTTGAGTGTTCATATCCCCGCCAGCACAACAGTGTCCGAGCTCATTCTGTGGCTAAGGAGCTCGTTCAGTTGATGATAGAAGTCGTCTTTTACCGAAACATCGCTACTATTTGTGGGTGCATAGGCAGCGATGACGGTTAGACACCTGTTAGTCCCGTGCGGCTTCGAAGCTTTGAAGGAGCCGGCCAATCGGACCGCACACATCCGGCTACTGATTGCAATCCAATCAACCAGAGCAGCTTCAGCCCGGGGACTCAAGACAATACCAACACCGGGTTGGCCGGTGCTCGAAGCTGCATCGTCACCGGATAGGCGCAATGAGAAAGTGCTGCTAGTGTCACTTCAAGGGGATCGCAGAGTGAGCGAAGAGATCGAGTCTTGCAGGCGGGTCTCTGATAAGCAGCAGATATCGATCGAGAGCGTCTCCAATGTTCAGGCAAGTGCTGCCTGTTGACCGATCTGTAGCAATGTGCGTGCATTGAGGCATGCCAATCTGAAAGATGATCGAGGGGTTTAAATGGAAGCCGATGAACGGGAATGGGCCGCTTGCTTGGACATGGGCCTGTCGACTGGGCAGGAATGACCCTCCATGTTCACGTGTGAGTTAAAACTAAAAGGCAAGCGACTATTGAAGCAAGGTGGGGGAGGGCCAAGAATTGGAGGGTTGAAAACAGGGGTGGATAAAAGTGAAGTTGGAAGGGGACGGTAAGAGTGCAACGCGTAAGAAGGAGAATAAGAAGACGGGAAGGCTTGAGCAGTAGCATCCAAGCCCCTATCCACCCTGCTCGATGCAGCAGATAGGGCACGGTTGATTATCCTCTGCGGTGGTCAGAACATCAGAAAATTGTTTGACGAATGATTCATAGTATTGCGTGGGCAGGATACTGTCAGGTTGCCCAAATCTAGACAGGAGAACGATTAGGGTTCTCAATCAAAGCCTTTAGTTCAAAAACCTGATCGCAAGGCAGCGGGTTTGGCGTTGGGCTACAAGAAGTCCGTTTTAAGGAATAAAGAGCCACCCTTATTCCAACCCCCAACCTGGAGGACCAGGAGGCTGAGTTTGTCTGGCCTCTAACTATTGACCAATATGGTATGAGTCGCTCTGAATGTGCAAACAAAGCACCACCCAGCATAGCTCAATGGGTCTCTAAAGCACGCAAACCACCGTACCACAGTAAGGTCCAGCCTCATTGCGATGGTTTGGTGATAAATGCGAAAAGCGGATTTGAGAAGACAAACGCAGACGGGAGAAAGGTGGATAATACTGAAGTCTTTGCAATGTGGACAGCTACCACTCTCCAACCGCCCATTTAGAATACGGTTTGTTGACCTTCGACTCAACGACTGGGCCCATGCCGCAAAGGGACAAATGGGGTTAATTGAGCGACTGCACTGGGAGCTTTCCACTCAACTATTCGAGAGAAAAAGGGCAGTTTTGAGCACATGTAATTCGGGAGTATGGCCACAACATCATTCTGGAACCTGTTTCCTTCACACTACACGCGGCCTCGGAAGCTTTGAAGCAATTCTCGGCTTTTTGCGACCATTGTAGATTACACACATGCGACCACGTCTTACGATTGGTGAGTGTTTGTACCCATTTAATGAGGTTGCCTTGAAGCAGGCATTTGCAGTCCACTGAGCACCTTGTGCCAATTTTCTCTGCACAAGCAACGCGTGGCGTTCTTGCAACGCGCCAATCGATCTTGTAATTTGTTGGGGTATTGAGGGGAAGGTGCCGCAAACCTCACCTCAATCTCCAAATAATAGGTTTTTGAGACTGAATTAGTCCTATCACTGATCTGTCTAGCATGAATAACTCTGAAGGCGTTTGGAGGGTACTGCCCGGCGTAACTCAACATATCGGGAGAATACGCAAGCTATCGCACCAGGCTTAAGTTCACTATTGTTGCAATGTCACCTAGCCGCCAGGTAATTTGGTAATACAACGACCGTAGAATTATTGAACTAGCGGACACCGGACGGATTGGTCCGTAGGTCTCGCTTTCGGCTTATATTGTCATCAGTGAATTGGCAACCGATCGATCGACACAGACACTGTCGCATTGTCGCGTCGCGGCATGACTGCGGAGTCGCACTATGCCACACTTATTAACCGACCATGGTCGGCGGTTACCATCTTCTGTGCTCCGATTGGTAGATTCCCTGCGTCTATATGAGACATTTGGATCCTGCATGTTTCGAAATTTCTGCATGCTTCCTATTGACTAATGGAACGCGGCCGCCATGCTTTGAGTGTTGATACTCACGAGGTGACGCCAACAGCTTTTGATTTTGACAGTCAGGATAGCAACAACGTTCATACTCGCTTGTTGTCCTAGAGCAAGTAGTCTTTTAAAACTCATTATTTCAATGTGACACGATTAATAATAATAATAACAGTAATAATAATAATGTGTCTGCTGTACGCCGTAATAGCACTGCTCTGTTGCGCGACCCACCACCAGTCACGCACGGGCTGAATATACCGCGAGGACATCCACCCCTACGCGGATTCGAACCGGTTACAAGCCAGTCGCTCATACCACTCGGCCGTTCGTTTCAAGAACTTTCATGAACTTCACATGGTGTATTTGCCTCTTTCCTCATACGTCTCGCGAAACTGAACTGCCGATTCCGACATGTGACCCACTCTTTTTAGAAGCGATCATCTTTAGGTTAGTCCGCTCTGCGCTTGGAAACCATACTAGAAAAATAATGATGCCTCAGTGTTTGATCTTTCGCCTTATATGCGGCACAGCAGCTGGGGTGTTTTCCATCTCTAGCTAACGTGTGTAATACTAATGTACTACTTATATTGTCTTCGCTTCGACTTTTAACCATATTTTCTTAATTTTTCCGTGTAGCTTTTCCCTTTTCGGTTCACTTTTGTCTCTACGTGCCCTTATGGCGTCTGTCGTCAGATCAATCGATGCGATCTACTTTATGTTTAGCACCAGTTTGGCAGTTTTGGCGTAGGAACTGAAAAATCAACCCTCGTATTCAAATGGACGTATATACTTACATAATGTTGCATGTGATTGAGTAACCTTGACGAGCAAAGTGAATGACGGAAGTGCAAATCCTAGGTCGAAGGCAGCCTCAGGTTGACAGTAGTTGTTTCCGAGCGTGAAAGACTGACTTTATCTGTCCCATTACTTCCGCCTCAACAAAGCGCAGAAAGCAGAGATTAGCATAATGCTACACAACTTTTGATGCTGGTTGGAGCTCTATCCGGTGACCAGCAAGTGCTTACCTATCGAAGAAGCTGGCTATTCGCCCATGCAGTGACGTTAATGGGTTCGGTAGGGGCTCTAGGCAATTTCACGCCGACCCAGTCTCGAAGCAACTTTCTCAATCCGGGTAGTCATGGTTCTGTCGGTTCTGCCAATGTCACTGGCTCCGTAGTCAAATACCTGTTGGTATATGCAGTGGGAGTTCTCCGCCGTTGCTTCGTTCGTTGTAGTTACTGGCACTTTTTGGCTTCGGTTGATGATGATAAATCCGTTCTGATTGCGCCTGATGTGGGTGTCCAGATGTACCGGCCAATATTCCTGTTCTACTCCACAAATAACCCTTAAGTTAGCATGTACTCCACAAATCGGATCCGAGGTCAGTTGTCCCCCGTACTGTTTTACTTCATTTTTGCTCGACTGTTTTTCCCTCACGTTCTCCTTTGAAGTTCGTAGTTGTGATTGCACTCTAGGCTTCCTCTTTACGCCGTGTGGCATAAACCTCTTATATCGGTTGTTCAAACTGCCCAGACAAGGTACACACTTGCACAAGGATGCTCTGAATGCATCCTATGATTAACCGATTCATCCGTTTGGTTGTGCATTTTTACCTGTATGTCCATGACAATTCCTTTCCTCTCACAGACTGCGGGCCGGTAACGGTGATCCACTCTCCACCTCCCAAATCACCTATTTCTAGCACCCACGCGATTGACTTTGTTTGCTTTCACTCACCGTTTTCTCGCTTGGTGCGCAAATCTTTCGGATGGTTGGCCCTGGAAGACGTTCGAAGCAGTTTGGGCTGTTTCGCGAGCCGCCAACATACAGAAACTATGCTGACTAGCGAATCGCATGCATTGAATGGAGATGCTGAGCTTGTTGACCCCGACACCGATCCAAACGTTGTGGATGCGTTGACCAATTTGGTTCGACCTGACGCTTTTAGGTAAGCATTCCTTTTCATCATATCGTTGTGCTTTTTATCCGTTCTTTGTCAACTAGGTTACATCAGAGTAAATGCCTTTGCAATCAGGATTTAATATCACTACTACTATTACTAACGGTACTATCGGGATCTTTCCCATCAGATGCGCTAGTCATTAAGTGCATAATGTTGTTTGCAAAACACGTTCGAGTGTAGCTACTCATGAGTAGAAAGATATTAACACGAATAAGGCAGCGTGTGAATCAGATGTGCTACAAACTTGTTATACCCTTGTTATGGCGACTATGCGGAAGTAATGCGCCACTGTAGTTGAGCTATACTTGTACCAGTGAGTGTGTACTTCGGTTACTTGGCGTGTATTCCTGCTTAGTGGCTCTATGCTAGCGACATTTGGTGTTGGGTATGATAAACTAACCACCCGTCCGATGCCCGAACTCCGACAGGCGTGTGGTTTATAATCCGCGCCTCCATGTAACGTCACCGCAACCGGTCTCCTAACTGTCCGTTCCGCATGCACTCGCTATCGGTGGCCTTGCAGCGAAACGGTACAATGTTCCGACGCACTGACGACACCGATCTTTCTTTTTCGCTTTACCACGACCTAATCAGCTACTACTGAACTATCGCCCTGTTCGTGTGTAGCACACATGTTTCCCCAAACTTTGTGTTGGTGGTGTGCATGTGGCCGCACTCAAACCATTCGTGACTCCCTCGTTGTTCTACTTGACACTGGATATGTGGTATGCAGGCACTGGTCCTGTGTTGTCTATTAGATGCTGATAACCTATCGCTAACTCACATAATGTAACCTCCATTTGCAACCGTTTTGGCTTTTCATTGCCATATTTGAATATCTTTTAAGCTTGGGCCTTCAAACTATTCTCATTTAGAATATTCGTACATGTAGATTTTGCCTTGTTCTCCGAACTGGATGATTTATTTATAAACCTTTCACTGCCAGACTGGACAACACCAGTGTGGTTCTAAAGGCTTGGTTCGCAGAGCCTCGTAAGCAACTTGGAGATCAAAAAACTCTATTTTAAATGCGTCTCCACTAAACTCACATGCGACAGCGTATCTGACCGGAACGTCGCAGGTTTGTATTAGTTTGTACCGAGCGCTGTGTTGTAGGTGTGTTCGTTTGTTCAATAGCACGTTTGGAAAGCGCTGTATGCCTTCACCTTTGTTCCATCCGCCTACTTGTAAGTTTCTGGCGTACACCCAGATTCAACACAGGTCGGGGTCCCGAACACATTACCGCCTTTTCGGGAATAGGGTAGTCTCACACGAACAAATGTCCCTGGAGGATACCTTCTCCCAACTCGTCTTTCTTTAGCCTGGTAAACAGGCTGTCTTTTTTGTGTAGGTTCGTCGCAGTTAGACGCAGACAGACAACCACCACACATCCAGGAAAGCGCTAGGCGGCCGTTTCGTCCTATTGGGACTTGTCAGTAGCGCGCACCCGCCGAATCCTGCCGGATTCGAACCCACGACCTTACTCTTGCGAGTCAGCGACTTATGTCACTGAGCCATGGGCGACGGCACCGGACCGCAGTTTCTTCGGATGTAAAGACTGCATTTAATCGGGTACGATTTGTTCGCCCTAGCATTAGCTGCGTGGTGGTCGTTACCGTTGCAGTATGTGGATTGGTTTTGTATACCTCCAACGCAGATACCAACGCATCATCCCAGGATTCTCCCGAAAGCCGAAGGACTTGTAGAGATTCTTTCAAAGTACAGTCATTCGACAAGTCCATTTGGCTCAGGATTCTAGGGTACAGTCCTCGTGTGTGATACCATTGCGCCTTAGGAATACATCATACCCATTACTTCGAAACTGTGGGCAGTTATCAGTGACTATTTCTTCTGGCAAACCGTGCCTTGTAAACAAACAACGGAGCCACTTTCTGATGACGGTTGTAGTTACGCCCTCGCATAGAATACCCTCCAGCCATTTGCAGTAGAAACAGGTATCCACTAACACGTTTCGCTTCTGCGGGACTGCATTGGTAAACGGACCCATAGTATTGATGCCAATTTTTGCCCATGGCTTCAATGGGCACACGATAGGTTGGACTGGTGCATTCAGCGTCCTCGCATTCTTATCGGATTGTTGGCAGGTGGAACATTCCCGGATAACCGTCTCGACGCTGGAATTCAACTTCGGCCACTAATAGTATTGTCGTATGCGGGTTTTGGTTCGCACAATTTCTGGATGGCCTTCATACGCACAAGCAACCAACAGAGGAATAAGGATTTCAAGGACCACAAACTGCTCGCCTCTAATAATGCAGTTGCTCACAGTAGAAAGCTACTGTTGTAAGCTATAGTATGGATGTACCTCAGGCTAGATCTTGGTACGACTGGACCATTAAGTGGATTTGTACTCCCGAAGCTTCGCTAGAACAGGGTCTTTGTCAGTGTGCTCTCGTATCAAACCAAATGTTATTGTAGGTGTTCCGCCTGAGAGCTGCGATATCATTTTTACCTC